TCAATTTTAAGATGTCCAGGGGCGTAGTGAATTTTGTAATAAATGTCAGCAAAGTAGTTGACAAAAAATAAGGATCTGAATAGGTCATGCTAAGTAAGTCTAAAAAAGGACAATTTTTTTTTTTAAATATATATGTTTTTATTTCTATTTTTAATTTAAATTACATGTTTCTTTTTTTTTATACTGTTTTTCTTTTCAATTGGTTTCCGAAGAAGGCATTTAGCCGAAACGTCCATTTCATTGTTCTGTATTTTACACCTTAAACCTCAACATGTCTTGTTCCACTATTTATTTACTTCACATGGCTTAAATGCAGTCCCTCATATACTAATGTTACGTAAAGAGTTTGAATAAACATATGCCACATTCGAAATGTTCCGATTTCGTATGCCCATCAATTTCTAGAAAACTTATCTATTTATTTTTTTGGATCCTGTCTTAGTAGCCTTTTTGTGTTATGGGAACTTAATTTTTTTTTTTTTTTTTTTTATTTATGCTCTCTTTTATTTTGATTTTTTTTATTTTATTTTCTTTTTTTTTTTTTTGTTTTTTTTTTTTTTTTTTTTTTTTTTTTTTGGATCTTTTTTTTTTTTTTTTTTTTTTTTTGTAGGCTCACTTGTACTTTGATTTCTTTTAGTGTAGGAAAACTGACAACTTGCCTGCTGACACCTTGCCTACTAACATGTTGCCTGCTGACACCTTGTCTACTGACATTTTGCAAGCTGACACATTTCCTACTGATGCCTTGCCTAATGAAAAATTTCCTGACACCTTTCTTACTGACACCTTGTCTGCCAACACCTTTTATACTGACTATTGTCTACTAGCACATTGCCGGCTTTTAGAGTTAGGTTAAGTGGTGTAGCCTTGAGTAAATAGATTTGTTTAGTTTCGAACATTCAAAATAAACGTCTCATAATCAAAACAGGATTTTTAAAATTTTTTTTTATTATTTTTTTTTGTCTTTACATGAAAGAAGCATCATTTCGTTATTTCTCGTTTAGGTTTGTATACTGTTAAAATACGTGCATTATAATTGTTTGTAGTCAATTTAAACACAATTAAAGGAAAAACCAAATTAATCGTTTTGTGAACAACCAGACCACTCTGTTTATAAAACCCCAAAAGGACTAAAACTGTAATTGTGTTCCTAAATTTGGGATATAACAGCTGCCGACCGCATCCCTCACAACATACACAGTTACCCCACCCCCACAACCCCCACCCCGATTCCCCTTCTTCAAAGACAGTAATTAATTAGGGATATACTGCGAACAGTTGGTGTCTCCGTGAACAATGATCTAATTCAGTGGTTCTTAACCTTTTTGGAGGTACCGAACCCCACCAGTTTCATACGCGCATTCACCGAACCCTTCTTAATAATTGGAAAAATAAAATATGATTTTTTTTCCTGATTTTTTTCTGGACCTCCGCCTAAACCCCTGAGAATGACTCACCGAACCCCTGGGGTTCGTTCGAACCCAGGTAAAGAACCACTGATCTCATGACATACGCTCGGACGTGCAAGCAAGTTTCACGGCTTCATTGTAAAGCCACTGCTACATAGTTGTAACCCAGCTGTTTAGCATAGGCCTGTGTTTCTGGGCTGAATGAATTGCACTAACTTCGCCGTCACCTTGACAGCAGGGAGCTGCGCTGGGTAGGCCCGTTTATCTGAGCTTAAACTCTAATATTCATGTCAAACATGCATGTGACTTAACTTGAATTTCGTCTCCCCCCCCCCCCAGAAAAACCAAATAAATGGTTTGATTTTTAATATTTGTAATCTTTAATTTATTTTTTGTGTGTGACGGACGTAAACAGTGAAGTTTTGACAGCTCAAATTATAATATCAATGTTTAAAATATGGTACTAAAAGAAGACTCCAGAGAACACGTTTAAACGCAGACATTTCTTTCTGCTAAAAGTTGGTAAACGCAAGCCTACATTCCTTTGGGTGTTGTGATAGCTTCCCTGCTTTCTGTCATATATAGGCCTACAACCCTTTGGGTGTTTTGATAGCTTCCCTGCTTTGTGTCAGATATAGCCTTATGTCCGTTTGGTGTTATGATGGTCTCACAGTTGTGTTGCAGATCTAGCCTTATGTCCGTTTGGTGTTATGATGGTCTCACAGTTGTGTTGCAGATATAGGCCTACAGCTAATTATAACTGAATACACATACAACTTGGCATGAAAAGAGAGTTATTTTTAAAATCGTTTAGACTTAGACATGTCTAAATTTAATAAGTGAATTTATCATGTGTCAGACGAACGCAGATTTTTGAGCGCTCACAAGATAGATGTCCCCGGGCTGACACTATCAAATTACAATGTAGTATAAGGGTGAAAAATACACAATTCTTGAAATTAATGTGAACTTTCACATTTAATTTGGACTGTGTACATAAAGTACGAGATGCTATTTAAAATTATTTGTAACAACCCCCCCCCCCCGTTGCATTATGTCACAAACAGGCCGGCGCTAAGAGGGTGCGGGGCCTTGGGCAAATTGAATTTTGCGGCCGTTGACGTTTTATGTTACGCCGATAGGATATAAAGACACGTTTTGGTCGTACTGAGGCCTTGCTGAGATTCATCTCGAAGGGATAGTATGGGAGCCAGACTAACCTTCAGACCATTTGACTAGCTAATAACTCCAAATATTGTGTTGAGTGGATTAAGAACTATTAGTAGGCTTTTGTATATTTTAAATATACTACGGCAATGCGCGGGGCCTTGGGCGGTCGCCTACTTCGCAATCCCCTAGCGCCGACCCTGTCACAAATACAAGGACCACCCCCCCCCCCNCTATTAAACATTAACAACTGATTGAAATTTAATCTAAAACACTCTTCACAATCCAACTGTTTTAAAAGTGAACTCTTCTGTCACAATATATCCATCATAACAGACATTTTAACACAGGTCTAACTGTGAATTTTTTTTTTAAATTCCATTTTTTATTATTTTTTTTTTTTGTTTGATTAAAAATATTATTAAATGTGTGACGTACTTTAAAGGAGTGGTGAGATTTGTGACAGGTTGTGACATGGGGGAAAGAGGAGGGTAAAAAGTGTCCATAAATAGAGTGGCGTGACGTACTTTATGGAATGCCCCCATGACCCATATTCCATATAGAATCATGCCAGTATTTTACACGAACAACATCGCTGCATTACAACTTTTGTTAGAAGGCATATTAGGGGGCGTACATTAATTACGTCAACAAAATAAGGGGGGGGGGGAACGTTTGACAGTTGTTGACAAGGGAAAGGGGGGGGTTAAGATTAGTTGACGTTAACAATCATGTTTTTTCTATTAAAAATTGAATCTTTAAAATCAACTTGTACTTACATTATTCAAACAATTTAATGAGTTTAAATAATCATATATGTTTAGGCCTTTAACAATGGTATAAGAGTTATTTAATGTGTGTCTGTCTGTGCACGGCAGATGGTTGGTCAGAATGTTAGCACACTTTGTAAGTGCAAGAGAATTCAAACGTTTGCATCTCTTCACCTGTCACTATTTCACTTAATCCGCTCCCTGGAATGATTAACACATCATTGTACACAGTGATCAATTTTTAAAAAAAAAATCAACTCATCTTCAATAACAACTACACCAACTTAAAGACAGAGAGAGCCATGGGCGCCCGCAGGTAGGGGCAAGGGGGGACACTTGCCCCCCCCCCCTGGATTGATTGGATAAAAAATTTTAGACATAAATAGACAAAAAAAATTATTAAAGTAAAGAGAAAATAAAGAGAAAGTAACTAAGCTGATGTCCTGTCCGTTCGTTCACCGTACAAATACGCTACAGTAAATTAAAACTATATTAAAGCATTACTAAAAAAATTTCCCCCCCCCCTGGAAAGTTAATCGATTTTTTTTGCGCCCCCCCCCCCTAGAAAGTTTTCTGCGGGCGCCCATGGAGAGAGCTTATGGCAATTATTGCTCAAATCGTCAATGCTTCTATTTCAAGTGCTGAATGGTTATATGTTGACATGTCTGGTATCTCAGTTCCACAAGATGAAAATGATAAATAAGCTACTATAGACTATGCCCATCATAGGCTTCATTTCAGGGGGTTTTTGGGGGGAAAAGGATGGGGTTGTTTATTACTGGAGTCGCCACAGTGCATAGCAATTTAAATAAAACCAACAGAATGGGGGGGGGGGGAATGCCCCCTTGCCCTACCCAAATGATGTCCCTGGTGGCACTGATGCCCATTGTTACGATACAGCAATACCTGGCTACTTCATGGGAAGATAATAGCAGCTAGAAACTATACTATAATTGTCAGCTATACTGACAATAATCATATTTATACGTCCTCAATGATATGTAGTCCTTAACAGCATTTTAACTGATTCTGCATTATAAAATTTAAGTGTAAAAACTTTTTAACTTTTAACTTGTTGAATAACGAGCTAAACATGTAATAAAATGATTTATAAGTCGTTTAAATACATCAGCACAGAGAAAAATGTATTTATAAATGTATTTATATTATAATTCATGTGGAGGGGGTTATAAAATGTTGACACAATTAAATAGGAGAGTCATCGAAAGTTTGACAGCTGTTGACAAAAAAGGGGGGGGGGGGATAAAAATTGCGTAAAAATTGTTGACCTAATTAATGGACGACCCCTTATACAAAGACAACATTTTAAATTTTAAATGAGATTACAACTTACCAATTTTTTATTTTAATTGTTAGCTGTTGACAAAAAAGGGGGGGGGGGGATAAAAATTGCGTAAAAATTGTTGACCTAATTAATGGACGACCCCTTATACAAAAACGACATTGTAAATTTTAAATGAGGGTACAACTTACCAATCTTTTATTTTAATTGTTGCGATTTGAAATTGACGCAATGGACTTTTAAGAAATTAAGATATATATATATTTTTAATGCTTAGTTTGAAAGTATTGTTTCGTTGTAAATCTTATTTAATCATAGCAATTTAAAGCAAATAATTAAATAAAAATGGAAATGTTTTCCGGTGACCTTTGCCGAAATCCGAAACAAGTAAGTTCTAAAATCGAGGGTCAAATAGTAAAAGCTTCTTTTATTTATATTCGATTTTTCTTATGATCTTTATATTATTTTAAATAGATATTATTCCTGTTACGAAGGTAATAATTAAATAAATGCCGGCAATCTTGCAGTTCAGCTGCGTATATTATTTCTGATCGAATTTCGCATCATTACTATTATCGCGTGTAAACTTACCGTCGTGTATTTATTGAGTACTGTAAGATAGCATTATTAGTTATTAACACTAAATTGTACAGCACTAACTTCTATTTTTTGTATTGATTTTTACAGCCCCCATTGGTACATAGCCGATAAACGATCTATTCATTTTCTTGTTGTTTTTTTTAAAATTCAACACACATTTATGATTTACATGCCAGATTTCATTTTTTCAACTCACTGAAAGAAAGCATATTCACAAAAAACGAAACAAGAAATTAGATTATCTATTGATGCTTAACTTTTTAAACTAAAAGCATGTTTACAAAATTAATTTACATAAAATATGCATGTATATTGGCTAGATTTAGGCAAAATAAAAATAATTTAAATAATGAGTTCATTACTCATTACTGTTATTACCCTTCAGCCTTCAGTACCGGTTTTTGAATAGGGATAATCAAGTGAATGTGTACTAAGTACTAAGTTGTATATCATTCCATTTACTCATTCCCATGCAGGAGCCTTTGTTTTGAATTACTGTATTTATTGGCGTATAACACACACTTTTTCTCACCGAAAATAGGGGGCAAATCATGTGTGCATGTTATACGCCGATATAATGTTTAGTTTTTTCTTGAAATTTCCTTCTTAAATTGGGGTGCGTGTTATACACCAATAAATACAGTATATTTATACACCCCATATAAGAAAAAAAAGAAGTTTTGGCCCCTAAAAATACAAAACAATTGGAGCTATGGAAGGTTGGGGGATGTTCAAAAGCACTTAAGAAATAAAATAAAATGAAAATAAGCGCTGTATAATGCAGTATTTTTTTTAAATATTGCTGCCTGGATTTAATTTAAGGACAATACACGTAAGTTTACATGAGATAATACGGAATTTGATTAGAAATACTATACGCTCCTGAACGTAAGATTACCTAAATGCCAACAAAACAAATTAACAAACTAACAAACAGCAATCAAAGAGTTCAAAGTCAAAGACATTCATTTCAATAGGACACTTCTCATTCCCGGTCATTCCGTATATTATAGTAATAGTATAATTTGAAATTTAATAATAGTAATTGTAATACTATAATACCATTTATGGTAATATTAATTTAGCATACTTAGAAACAAAATACACCGAGGTCAGTAAATAGTGGCATTTGCTGTTTAGTATTGTTTTTACGCCAATGCAAAGAGATTTCAGGCTCAAGGGTTACAGATTACAGATTAGTTATCAGACAAATTTAGCATTACTACCAATATTATTCAATATAATTATAAATGTCATCCTAAACAAAATGTGGCATACTACAAAAATCTCACAAATGTCTGTGGCAGTTGCTCCCTGTCTAAATTCTAAATATATCCTCCTTAGCGTTAAGGTATCCTTAAATAATTAAAGTGACCATATTTTTTTCAAAATCAAAACCAAGCATTTTTAAAATTTAAAACATTTTAAATCATTTTGCACCAAGAGTGTCCAAAATTGAACAATTCTTTTATGATTCAACTGAGAGCTCTTATGTCAGTGAGACATTCTTACAGTAACTTGCAGCTAAATCAATATATATAATACATTAATTAATTTTTTTATGTCATTTCTTTACGCCTGGATACCAAATGTACCTGATCTTTTGATAAAACTTGATCTTTTGATAAATTAACAAATTAGTGGGGGTTTTTTTAATTTTGTAATCATAAACTGTAATAGCACTGGATTCAGCAAAACTAGGACCAATATTCAAAACCAAGTACTGTCCTAGTAAGATCAGTAAGAATGGTCACCCTCTCAGCCTATCCTATTTCCTTTATACAAAACATATTGGCTCCCTTTTATGTATACCTAAATTCCTAGTTAGTTGCCTCTATTAAATAAAACATTTAATTGAAATATCTCCATTATATATCTCGTTCGTAAGCACTATTTTAATTTCATCTGAGTAAGCAGGTAACTAACATATGTTGAGCATTATTTTATATTTCAAATATATTTATTCAACACAGCATTAGTATCTCTCAATATTTTTTCCAACATGCACATAATTCAGTTTAAATTAGTTTTTTTATATTTTTTAAGATAATGGCAACCACACTGGGTGTATTGAGGGTCTGTGTAAAATGCTTAAGGCCGCCAACAAAGAGACTCGGCCGTCTGTGTGTTGTCAGTGCTGTATCCAAACAGCAACAAAGGGTAAATAAATAAATAGCTTTAAATGTCAAATTTACGCTAATTCAAGTCCTGTAAATATTTGCATCCTGAAGTTCTAAACAAAAGTTTACTAAAATGGTACTGATAGATTTTTCTGTTTAATTCCTTATTATATAACCTTAAAAATCTTAATTGAGACTAAAATTAGACCAATTAGTTCTGTCTCTGAATTAATTCATAAATCAGTTAAACACAAGAGAACAATTGATTCAGATGGGAGTTAAGGTTTTCTTAAGTTTTCTAAGTACTGTATTTTAATCCCTATTTCAGAATCACACTATTGTTATGGAGAGAGTATTTCCTCTGCCAGCAGGCAAAGATGGTGGGCTGCCACACCCAAATGATGTTAATGAAACCCATAAGATTTTAAGACATGTTGAAATCGTGGAATACCCTACTGAGCTGGCTTGTATTCTAACAGATTATGTTGAAGGTAAATTCGAGCCTTTATAGACCTACTATCACTATCACTCTTCGATAATAATGTCTTTGGCATTCTTTAAATATAAATTATTTGTTCATTTATATTTTTTTAAATCGCAATAAACTTGTGCCTTTTTTCATATATTAAACAAAAATTAAAATCAATAAGAATCTAGAACCTATCAGACTTATTAGCCATGAGGCTGTTTATAAGACTCTAGAACCTGTCATACTTATTAGGCCATGAGGCTGTTTATAAGACTCTAGAACCTATCAGACTTATTAGCCATGAGGCTGTTTATAAGACTCTAGAACCTATCAGACTTATTAGCCATGAGGCTGTTTATTAGACTCAATGATTAACTTAAGGGCTGTACCCTAATTTAACACTTGAACCCATTATGTTTAATATGGATTTTTGTGTTTGATCATAGTTAAACAGTTTTATTTAAAAACAAATGTGCTCACTTTTCCACATATATTGCTTCCAAACATATTTGCTTCCTCCATCTCGATTTAGCTATGCTGTGGGATTAGACTTGATTACAGTCAATTTTCAAATTACAGTTTATGTGTTTCAGGATGTCACTGTCGAGCTTGTTTTACCGATTTATTAATTTTTTTTTTAATTTAGGAGGAAAAACATGACTTGTAAAACAGTTTTATCAGCTTGCAGAGTTTAAACAAAAAAGAAATTGGGCACCACCCACAATTAATTTGAAGTGAATTCATTAATATGTATATACAAGTTTTAAAGCAAACTTTTAAAAAAATATTTCCTGGAAATAAGTGAGTTATATGAGCGGGTCGTATATTTTTTATAAGTTGCCTCAGGCACATTGAATAATGAAATTGTTATTGTATATCACTGAGGTCCTAGTCTACCCTTAAGATTAGAATATGTTACTAGAAGCTTTAAAAAAAAATAATAAAACAAAGATACTGTAAGTAGATGGTGCAACTATTTCCTCAACATAATGGTAATTTAGGTAATAAATGATGATTAAAAAGTAGGTGAGGCCCATCCCGATTCTTCTTAAAAGCGTATTACTTACACTGGCATATTATTTTATGGGATTGGCTAATGAGCAGTGCATGCACTTTTCAGGCTTTTCCCCAAAAGGGGTTATTGTCGTTAGCTTGTGAAAAAACGGCCTTTAGAGCTAGTATCTTTGAAAGAAATTTCCAGTTTGTTCTGAGTTGATTATTTTTAGTTTTCTTTTCTATTCCAGGAATTGGCATCAGGGGAGATTTGGTCAAAGTAAAAAAGGAAGTTTTCCATAATGATCTTTACCCTGCAGGGCTTGCGGTTTATGCATCACCTGAAAACATAGATGAATTTGAAGAAGAAAGGAAGGTCAGTATAATTCTTAGTGTCATTATTTTCCCTACCAGGGGATTGGGAAAATATAAATATATTATATCTTGCAGAAATCATCTTATAGTTTGTTTTTTGGAGCATTTTAACAATTAATCTCCTATCTCAGTCTCTGTTAAACTAATCAGTAATAATTAAAATATGTCTTATCTTTGTTTTTAATGAGGAAAATTTAAATTATTAACAAAAATGTTTTTAGAAATTGTTTTGATACATATTTAAATTAATTTAAGTTCTTGTACAGTGATTAAATAATAAAATAATGTATCACGTTAAAGAAATTAACCTTTTCGTTACCGATGACATGACGTCGACGTAACGTCACGACCACCCACTTTCAGTTACCAAGGATGTCACATTGTCATCATAACAAAGTGGCAAAGAACTTTTCTGAAATACCAAAGAAGTCACATCAAAGTCATTATTTCAATGCTATATATTTCTTTATTCGTTAATCTATAGAAAAGTTAATAAGTGAATCAGAAAGAGAATGAAAAATACTGAAAGTTTTTTCTTTAAGTTTTTTAATTGCCCATTCAACAAAAATCTGCCAAAACCAGCGGTAATGGAGGGTTTAAATTTTGAAAAATTGTGGTTTGCTTCTGAATAAAGTTAAATTACTCAGATACGTTTGCTATATCTTTTCACACAATATCAAAAGTTGGAATTAGATTCTATTTTCAGAATATTTTTTTCTTTAAACTGTTCAAAACTATTGATTTGTTTGCAGAATATCTTCCATGCATAGATTTTAAAATTGGAAATTAAAACCTAACAATCTTTTTAAAATTATTTTGTTAACATTTATTTCATTTGAATTTATAATAGCTTGAAATTAATCTGATATATATTTATATCTTATATCCTTCAGGCTAAAGGAATAGACAAGTCTGAGATGAGATTGGGTGTGTTTGCTAGAATGGTGAGCAAACTCTAATTAAATAAATCTACTACAAGACCAATTTGTTTTTACTTATTGAAACAAATGAGAAAGGTCTTGTTATTAAAATTTCTTTCAGATCGAAAATATAAATGATTTTACCATTGATCATTTGCTAAACGTCTTGTTATTAAAATTTCTTTAAGGGTGAAAATCTAATTGATATTGTCATTGATAATTAACTATAGGTTTTGATATTTAAATTTCTTTAGGAGTGAAAATATAATTGAAATTTATCATTACCTATACCTTATTCCTTCATACTTAGTCCCATCATCATGTCCCTTAGTCCTTGGACTGTTGGGCGCCACAGATGACATGAAAAGTATCCTCCATTCCTCTCTGTTTTCTGCACTTCGCACAGCGTCACCTAGTTTTAGTCCCGTCCACTCTTTAATGTTATCTTCCCATCCTTTTCTCTGTCTTCCTCTTCTTCTCCCTCTTCTCGTTGTGCCCTGCATTATTTCATCTCCATCGCCTTTATTTTTCCTTCAAGTTCTGCAGTTAAGGTCCAGTACTAGTTTTGCTTCAACTTAAATTTTAGCAACTTAGCTAAATATCATTTAGTCATTTGAATGCAGAAGTTGGATTGATAGATGTCTTGTTTGAGCTTTGTTCTGTGTGCTAATTTGTGGTCAGTGTTCCATTGTGTGGAAGTGGGCTGCTCAGCTATGGGGGGGGGGGGGGGCGGCAAGGATGATTTGTGGAATATGTTTAGCTTTTGTTGTAGTAAAAAACCTGATGTGTGTTCATTACAAGAATCTTACCTCATCTTTTTAATGTTAATGTCACTGACGTTTTTGTTTGGGTTTTTTTTTGGTTTTTGTGTTACATTTTCCCCCACAGTTGTTGAAATAATTGTTTTAGGCATAAGTTCTATTTAAGCCCCAGCCAAGACACACTTAAAATACTTAATATAAACGATTGGTGTATTTTTTCCCTGTACAGGCAATCAAAGAGTTGAACCATATGCACCTTGAGATACCCATGAATGATAAAGTGGAATGGACACTGGATAAACAACATGTGCAAGTGGCTTTTAGGACACAGGTTAGGGTCTCTTTTTGGTACAAAGCTCTCCACTGAATAAACCGGGAACTCCTGGCTAACCTCATTGAAACTGTCATCAATTTTTTTTTAATTCAATGTCATTGTTGTTAAATTTTTAGTAAATATGAAAATGAATTAAATGTTATTATCATGACAAAAAGATGAGGTTATTTAGAGAATAAACTTTTAAGTATAATATCTCAAGTGGATTTTCACTGCATATTGAAAAATTCACCAACAGTGACCTTGGTGTCCGCTGGGCATTAATATTATTATTTACTGATATGTAACAGCATTGATTTTTATAGTTTCTTACAGATCTATCTTCATCTATAACATTATCACTATTGCTTTCTACATTAATTTCAATAAATTCAACATCAGTCTGTTTCATCATTGAAACTTGCTAGTCTAGTAAACTTAATGGATTGTTGTGAATGAGCTTGGAGAGCCTTGTTGAACTTTGAACTCTCATTTAATCTTTTTTTGCAAAAGAATATAAAAATATGAAGACTCCGCTTTTCAAAAAGATCTTCAATAACTAAAGTGCAGCAGTAATTTTTAGCACACAAAAGTTTTGTAGTTTAGTTGCAAGGGAGCTTTAATGAGCATCACATTTATCTGTCAGCCTGTTATGCCACATCTCAAGAGCGTCACATGTATCTGTCAGCCTGTTATGCCACATCTCAAGAGCGTCACATGTATCTGTCAGCCTGTTATGCCACATCTCAAGAGCGTCACATGTATCTGTCAGCCTGTTATGCCACATCTCAAGAGCGTCACATGTATCTGTCAGCCTGTTATGCCACATCTCAAGAGCGTCACATGTATCTGTCAGCCTGTTATGCCACATCTCAAGAGCATCACATGTATCTGTCAGCCTGTTATGCCACATCTCAAGAGCGTCACATGTATCTGTCAGCCTGTTATGCCACATCTCAAGAGCGTCACATGTATCTGTCAGCCTGTTATGCCATATCTCAAGAGCATCACATGTATCTGTCAGCCTGTTATGCCACATCTCAAGAGTGTCACATGTATCTGTCAGCCTGTTATGCCACATCTCAAGAGCGTCACATGTATATGTCAGCCTGTTATGCCATATCTCAAGAGTGTCACATGTATCTGTCAGCCTGTTATGCCACATCTCAAGAGCGTCACATGTATCTGTTAGCCTGTTATGCCACATCTCAAGAGCATCACATGTATCTGTCAGCCTGTTATGCCACATCTCAAGAGCGTCATATGTATCTGTCAGCCTGTTATGCCACATCTGAAGAGCGTCACATGTATCTGTCAGCCTGTTATGCCACATCTCAAGAGCATCACATGTATCTGTCAGCCTGTTAAGCCACATCTCAAGAGCGTCACATGTATCTGTCAGCCTGTTATGCCACATCTCAAGAGCGTCACATGTATCTGTCAGCCTGTTATGCCACATCTCAAGAGCATCACATGTATCTGTCAGCCTGTTATGCCACATCTCAAGAGCGTCACATGTATCTGTCAGCCTGTTATGCCACATCTCAAGAGCGTCACATGTATCTGTCAGCCTGTTATGCCATATCTCAAGAGCATCACATGTATCTGTCAGCCTGTTATGCCACATCTCAAGAGTGTCACATGTATCTGTCAGCCTGTTATGCCACATCTCAAGAGCGTCACATGTATCTGTCAGCCTGTTATGCCATATCTCAAGAGCGTCACATGTATCTGTCAGCCTGTTATGCCACATCTCAAGAGAGTCACATGTATCTGTCAGCCTGTTACGCCACATCTCAGTGTTATAGTAGGCAGGCGCTGGTGGGAATTTGTTTGGCCAAAATGGTCACTTACGGCAGCAGGGGGGTTAAGAGAGGAGGACCAGATTCATAAGTTTTGGGCAATTGGTTAAGTATTTTTCTGAAATGCTAAAATGCTGTGGTGAAAAACTTCTTTTCTCAAATTGCCTCATGATGTACTTGAAACAATTTCAATGAGTATGCAACTAGTTGCATATTTAACATCTTCAGCATATAATTGATTACTTTTATTACCTTATTTATTTTTCTCTGATTTTAGGTAAAACTAGAAGTAAATTTTTTTTTTAAATTTAAAATAATTAATATTTAACTTTTAACAACAATAATGTAACAGACTTTTTTTTTTAAATATCACCTGCCAACAGTAAAAACATTGCAGCTGTGAGCGTCATTCAACACAAGCTCATTCAAAAAAAAATTGTGTAGTGTAGTGCCATTTTCCCTCTTTAGCCTAGGGCCCTCTTGTATGTGGGATAGTGAAACTAAAATGCTGAACGCACTCCTGCATTTAATCAACTCCCCTTAGGTAGAAAATTCGGACCTCACCTCTGTTTTTTTGGCAACGAATTGAATCACAAGAGCTGCTAAATCAAGCTTTTTAGAAATGCCTTGGTTGCTTATTACCAGGTACTCTTGACACCCCCCTTCCCCCCCCCCACCCATTTCTTTTCTCATAGAGTAAATCATTTGTGTAGTGGTGGTCATTACAGTTTTTATCAAATATTTTTCCTGCCAGACTGATTGTTGTTTCCATTCCAGGGCATTGAACTCTTGGAAGAGTGTCTGGTCCTGCCTGAAGAGCCAATCAGCACATTTCAAGATCTGGTTGTAAAAGTTTGGGTAAGATATAAAGTGCATTTTGTTTTTAAATTTTATATCTGATTTCCAAGTATTGGCTCAATACAATAAAGTTTTTAACAAAAATACTGGTACTGGTACATCATTGTCAGGTGTCTGGTACATCATTGTCAGGTGTCTGGTACATCATTGTCAGGTGTCTGGTACATCATTGTCAGGTGTCTGGTACATCATTGTCAGGTGTCTGGTACATCATTGTCAGGTGTCTGGTACATCTTTGTCAGGTGTCTGGTACATCATTGTCAGGTGTCTGGTACATCATTGTCAGGTGTCTAGGGTTTTTAAAAAAATGATTTTTGTTTGGTTTCTCTTAAAGAATAATGGTTTTAATATTGTTTGATGTGAACATGCAGAGTTGTGAAAATATTGTCAGTGTATGTCCAGACACTTTTATGAAAGGAGTGTACAGTTTTTAAGAAATAGGAAATGTTTCGACCATGATTAGTTCAATTTACAGTTAAGCAAGCTGCCCCATGATCAGTTTAATCTACACAAGCTTCCCCATGTACAGTTTAATTTACAAGGGCTGCCCCATGTACAGTTCAATGTACAAGGGCTGCCCCATGTACAGTTTAATTTACATGGGCTGCCCCATGTACAGTTTAATTTACAAGGGCTGCCCCATGTACAGTTTAATTTACATGGGCTGCCCCATGTACAGTTTAATTTACAAGGGCTGCCCCATGTATAGTTTAAAAAAGTTGCCCTATGATCAGTGTAAATAATTAAAGTTGCTACTCAATAAATGACATTAAATGACATTAAGTGTCAGTCAGAAATGTCCATTTCTTTCTCATGCCTCTTTATTTAAAATAATTTTATTATACTTGACTGGAGCGTTGTAGTGCACCATTTTGTTTTTTTGTTAGACATCTGAGCCTAAATTTATCTAGGCTAATCCAAAAGATGAGAATGAAATTTTTTTAATGGGGTATTTTTACACCATAGTTTTATCTTTTATTAGTTTGGTATATGCTTGGTGCATATTTTTTTTTTTGAATTTTACCCGGGGATTGTATGAAATAAATCACCACAAAATTTGAAAAGATATATCGATCAATATTACTCCAAGTGATTATGTAAGTACATTAAAAAATTTTCAATTTTTCAGTAGGTAAGGTGATCTATCAGGTTGGTGTGGGTTGTTTAATCCCTTTATTTTTGTTTACTTTTTACTGTTTACTATAATTTGTTTACTTCACTGGCCTACAAAACTTAAACATAATTTTTATTTTGAAATTTAAATATTTTTTTTATTTTTTCAGATCAATGGTCTGGAGTCCGTTGATGTCAAGGCCACCATCGTTCCTATTTCACAGAAATTTGCACCTGCTAAAGCTGTTAAAAAATAATTCATTACTTGACCTGTTTAGTCCATTTAGCCACACACTTGATAGCAAGTCACTGGTGATGTTAAGTCAGTGTGGGTGCCAGAAGAGCAACCTTCACATTGTATGCACCATTCACATTTTGTTCCATTGAAATGTGTATGCTCTCTGACTCTGGCCATACTATGACACAAACGTAACATCTTGTTTTATCACCAGAACTCTTAGTGTTAGGACATGGTCAAATTCAATACATTTTATATTAATAAATATATTACTAATATTAAAATTCACCTCCTTTTTTTTACTCATAAATTTGTTTGTTGTATGTTGAGGCCTACTTCTTGCTAAATTCATTTTTTACATTACCCCTGACCGGTACATGCTCAGGGCACAGTCGGATTAAATTTCTGTTTCCTTGTAAATCCTTTATATTATCGTCACTTTTGTTCGTGGATGGATGGCTCACTGGCAAAATCTTCCTGTCAACCTAAAACTTGGCACATAGACTCGTTGCCAATGACAGCACATACTCTCAAAATTTCAGTGGGGTGTGACTAATTGTTTTGTCTAATTTTCTGTTCTATTACTCACTGTTCTATATATTACATTTTATAAAGGATTTATATGAGGAACATTTTTTAAGGGTTATTTATGGAAAAAACTTTACCAATGTTATGTATTGTATAATGGTTATCATAAATAAATTTTTATCCCCCATGGCCTACTTAAACTCTCTAACACGGTTCATATTTCTGTTCACATTACTTTATTGTGTAGACAAAAGTTGGAACGTGGTGTAGTTTGCTTCCTTGATTAACTTCCTGGAATTGTTTAGTAAGCTTTTCCAAAATCTTAGGCCAACAACCGTACTGGCCAACTTCTATGCAGCACATGTTGTGATGGACTGAACACTCAATGCATCTGTTACTGCGGTTATTTTCTGGACTTATTTAAATGCAGGTATCACACACATATTTGAATTGTCTGCTATGACATAGAGACATTAAGTTACCATTCAGAATACCATATCCTTATGTTTATAGAGGAACTGAACCCTGAATACCTGAACAAGCAAACATAAAAACAACATATATATATGTTTAGGCCTGAACAAAAAAAAAAGACAGAACAATTAAAAAGAGGTTTCAGCTAAATGCCTTCTTCAGTAGAGAATGCAGAACTACATAAAAAAATTATTTGAAATTGAATAACTTTAATGTTCTCAGATACCACTGGAGCTCTCTCAATTTCTGTGTAGAAACAAAATGGACACCTCTGTTGTTGTTTTTTTTATCCAGTTGCCTGGATTCCAGGGGAAAAAAATTATTTTAAACACTGTCTTCTTTTATTTGAGGTGCCCAAGATAAGTTGTTGATCATTCTGGCTCCTGTCTTCTTAATATATTAAGATGAAATGGCAACGCATATTTTACTAGATAAACCACAAGTAGCAAACCCATCATGAGGAACACTGAATAAAAATTCTGAACTAAATAAGAAAATTAAGGAGATATATATAGATAGGTATTTTAATAACTCAGTTGGCTGCATGATTCAATATGTGAATAAAACAGGTGTGATGATAAGATTAGATAATGCTTTCATGCCCAGACAGCAATAGTTAAAAACTTTAATCACTCAGGCCTTTTCCAGCTCCCGTGGGCTGGGGCTTGTCGGTGTGACGTGAAACACTGAAAAAACATTCACTGGGCATCCGGTCCTCGCTGCACCCAAGCCGTCTCATTTTGTACATTACTAATGTATTCAGTAACCATTGTCTGCCTCTAACAGCGCTCTATCATACCAATACCAATGTAAAAATTATTTGAGTTGATAGTACCCGAAGTTTCAAGTGCTACGTTATAGTTGTTCGGACCCTAAGTTTCAAGTGCTACATTTTAGTTGTTAGGACCCTAAGTTTCAAGTGCTACATTTTAGCTGTTCGGACCCGAAGTTTCAAGTGCTACATTTTAGTTGTTAGGACCCGAAGTTTCAAGTGCTACATTTTAGTTGTTCGGACCCGAAGTTTCAAGTGCTACATTTTAGTTGTTCGGACCCTAAGTTTCAAGTGCTACATTTTAGTTGTTCGGACCCGAAGTTTTAAGTGCTACATTTTTGTTGTTCGGACCCTAAGTTTCAAGTGCTACATTTTAGTTGTTAGGACCCTAAGTTTCAAGTGCTACATTTTAATTGTTAGGACCCTAAGTTTCAAGTGCTACATTTTTGTTGTTCGGACCCTAAGTTTCAAGTGCTACATTTTAGTTGTTCGGACCCTAACTTTCAAGCGCTTCATTTTAGTTGTTAGGACCCTAAGTTTCAAGTGCTACATTTTAGTTGTTAGGACCCGAAGTTTCAAGTGCTACAGTTTAGTTGTTAGGACCCTAAGTTTCAAGTGCTACATTTTAGATGTTAGGACCCAAAGTTTCAAGTGCTACATTTTAGATGTTAGGACCCAAAGTTTCAAGTGCTATGGAAGACAATGAAGCTAATAATAAATGCTTTAAAGTACAATTACGTTCAGTCGAACATTTACTTACTACAGTTGAACAATTTGCTAACTTCAGTTGAACACTTGACCTAAACATGTGATTTGGTTTTTGTGACATACTAAGTTTCAAGTGCTACATTTTAGTTGTTCGGACCCGAAGTTTCAAGAGCTACATTTTAGTTGTTCGGACCCGAAGTTTCAAGTGCTACATTTTAGTTGTTCGGACCCGAAGTTTCAAGTGCTACATTTTAGTTGTTAGGACCCGAAGTTTCAAGTGCTACATTTTAGTTGTTCGGACCCGAAGTTTCAAGTGCTACATTTTTGTTGTTCGGACCCGAAGTTTCAAGTGCTACATTTTAGTTGTTAGGACCCTAAGTTTCAAGTGCTACATGTTTGTTGTTCGGACCAGAACTTTCAAGTGCTACATTTTAGATGTTAGAACCCAAAGTTTCAAGTGCTATGGGAGACAATGAAGCTAATAACAAATGCTTTAAAGTACAATTACGTTCAGGCGAACATTTACTTACTACAGTTGAACAATTTGCCAACTTCAGTTGAACACTTGACCTAAACATGTGATTTGGTTTTTGTGACATACTGCTGTATAAGAACACTGAAATGAAATAGCTGACCCAGTGGCGACCTTGCGGTATCATTTGACCATGGACGTTTCTGGAATATCCCAGATGCAGATGGTTCCCTCTTTCCCGCCAGTCAGCAGAACCGTTGAGCAGGAGCCGAATTTGACGCAGACGATCTCGTCACTGTGGGCCACGCCCACGTGAGTTACCACCCCTTGCTCTACGTGCCACAACTTCAAGGAAATAAAAAATAAATATATGCATATACCTTGCACAGCTATAATTTATGCAGGTCCCCATAATTTATTACGAAACGTTAAGAATTATGGCTATTGTGTTGTTGTTGTTTTTTTAGTATTTAAAATACCAATGGGAAACGGCTGCAAACAATTTACAAGCCCAAAATGGAGAAAATATATTTATTTATAAAAAATTTCAAGATAGGATTCTTTATTATCGACGCAAAAATGAATTTTATATACCGTTATGTACAGTATTGTATACACACAGGAATGTATAGTACTTCATATAACGTAATGTAGCCTACATTATTTTATTTACTATATGTTCAGTATTTTATATACACGGGTATGTACAGTATGTATATTATTTTATATGCCGTTAATAAAGTATTTTATATACCGGTATGTACAATATTTTATATACACCGTATGTAAATTATATGGATGCGACTATTCGCACCCGGGTACCAGAAGTGAGAGGTTGGGATTAAAAAACTATTGAATATATTATTGTTGGGTTTATAAGACACAATGAGGTATCAAATAAAAGATAATTGAATGGACTATATGTTTGTAAACTTAATTCTTCAGTTTAACTAAAGTAAACTACCACAAATGACATCCGAATAGCATTGATCTAACGGGACCCGGGTTCAAATGGCGGCGCTGCGTGTACACCGGTATGTACAGTATTTTACAGTAAGTACAGTAAGCACAGTTGCAGATGTATACCACCCCACCCCCAAATATTTACCTTGACCAGGCGATCCTCCCCACCGGTAACGTAGACGGCCTTACACTTCTTCTCCACCTCCAGGGAATTGATGGCGCCACGCTTGACACCTTCCAATTCGATCAGTGACTCGCCGTCAGTGGACTGGGGAACAAGGCGTGGGGCGGCATTTTAAAAGCCTTTATGAAATTAATTATCAAAGTCCCCTTCAAAATGACGTTGTTTCTAAATGCCGTGTGCCATTCTGCTCCAAAGGTTGTCTCTACAGCCACATTTTGACCACTTTGGAAGTTTTCAGTTGCTTTTATATTTTTTTAGCTTTATCTATTCAAAATTGATGTGGACTAGCTTTATCCATTTAAAACCGATGAGGACTAGCTTTTTCCAATCAAAATCTTTGAAGACAATAAATGAACCAACTTATTGTCGCCCTAAAATGCTTACATTTGACGAATGGCGGCAAAGTAATCCTGCAGTCTATCGCTGGGCACGTTGTGGTGGCGCAGCACGACAGGGCGGACTTCCTAGTTGAAAACGGCGCGGCCCAGCCGCATCCCGACAAGCCAATGACTCAGCTGGAAGTCACAGCTTGGTTAAAAGACCACTTTTGTGAAAAGTGGTTAAGCGATTGGGCCGCAGGAGAAACTGGGCTGCGGCTATATCGTAAGATGCCAAGACCGAGCGAGAGCGACCCCTGGCGGAAGCTAAAGCGAGGCGAGCAGAGCCTGATCACCCAGATGAGGACAGCTCATTGCGCGATCCGCAGCTACCTCCATAAATTTGACGACATGAGGGAACCAAACTGCCAATTTTGTGGTCAGACAGAATAGACATTGGCCCATTTAGTGGTCGCCTACCACGGTGGAGGATAGGGGCGGAGGGTTGAAACCCAGAGACCTGCCTTGAGGAAATAATTTACGGCGATGCCCACTAGATGAGGCAGGCCGCCACAATAAGAGACAGGGTTATAAGAGATTGAATCTCAGACCAAAAGAGGATGTAGCAATATCATTAGTGGTGTATAAAGATGGGGCAGATGGGGGTGGTCCGTCCAGGTGTCACCTTTTAATTATATGGAGGGGCGGAAATTTTGGATAACCGCAGAGTTCGTATCGTGAAAGGGAGAGTGAAAGTAGTGTCTGCGGAGTCGCCGCCTGCGGGAAATGTTTTATTATTTCTAAATCAAGAGGTGCATTCTCGAGTTACCTGAATTCAGTGTCTTATTGATTTTTTAATTTTATTTTTTTTTTGGGGGGGGCGGGGTTCAATTTTCGGGGGGAAGCATTGCATCAGCCAGTGCCATGCAAAACTGATTTTATCCCGGTTGTGGCGCGCCTCATAGTAATCATTTGGCAAAGCCTTAGATTCAGCCAAATACTGTCACACTAATCAGCTTGAGGGAAGAGGAGTGCATAAACGAAGAGTGTCGAAGTATCTCGGGCATATTCAAAATGATGGGATGTGTTTTGGCAAATACTTTAATTCGGGGTTTCTTTCAGACAATGGCGAGGGGGGAATTGAAGACTTGAGGGTGAGAATCACCAAAAAATAGCCAAACTAAGGATAAAGAATATCTCTAACTCCACCACAGCCCATCTTGAACTAAATTTATTCCAGTTGTGGCATCCCTGGGGATATGTTTTTTGACCTACGTTAT